AGCCAGAGACTTGATGTCCCACATTAGGAGGCTACAATATTTGCGAATTGCCAGGGGGGGGGGTAATAAAATCACTCTGCCGACGGCGACGAGAATCACAAGTTGATTCGGAACATAACAGCTGTGCTTGAGGCAAAGGCAGGCAGATTCCGATGTCTTAGGAGTCTGGGAAACCTTTGCGGGTAGGCGATATGCGGGAAAGTTTTTGCGATAAAATCAGCAGGAACGTGTCCTGAGGATATCCTAATCCACTGACGGCACTTTAAATGTCGCGGCTGCCATAGCGTTTTGATCAATAGGCCCTGAGACGTGGATCCCTCACACACTGTCGGGGCCTCACGAGTCTCATACTACTTGGAGGTTCAGGGTACTTATAACCCTAATTATAACTGTACTTACAAGCCCCATAAGTCCCCTAAGTAGGTCATAAGTAGACTTAGGCGGGCGCGGGATTCAAGACGCCCCTTATGTCCCTGTGATTGTCTACGAAGTGTAGTTTTCTTGTATTTGCCGTCTGAATTGGGTTCCTTAGAGACTCAAGACAGATTCTGCTCCGACAAAGCCTCGCTGTTGCTTTTCATTAGGCTTTCATTACTAAAACCTCCCAAATTACCTCTTCTTAATATGGCCGAATATTTAAGACGCCCCTGGGTTCTTCGCTCATTTCTCCGACAGCAGCTTCACACCATTGAAGATGATGATGTGTGATATGTTGCGATGCTGATCATTTAGTATGGTCGAAACACTGGGCCTGGAGCCTCACACTTGCAAGCCTAGTTCAATCCAATGACACTCCAACCCCTGAAATCCAAGCAACTGACCAACGACACGGCACTTAAGACTTACCAAACACACCTATGCCGGGCGCGGGGCCTACATATTCAGCCTAACCACCTGATCTTGCGTGCTTAAGCCCACATGTCTTCTCAACAGCACTTCTACCAGGCCTGCGACTGGCTTCAGCAGGGGTCATTCTGCGACATGGTGTCGAAATTTACCCAAAGGCTGTAGTGTAGTTCCTTTTTGGGTTCTAGGGGATTCTAGTATACTACCATAAAAAGATACTACATAGGGGCCTCTGGGTAAGGTTTACACCTCCTTTACTTTCAGGTCCCTCCCCAAAAATGATATCCCTTGCAACGCGAGATGGCCACTTGTTTCTTGATTGTACAGAATCGTCACTGACCCGGTATAGGGTTTAGGGTTTAGGGTTTAGGGTAGTTTGGTAGCCTCACCTCCAGAAACGGCACCGATCGCAAAGCCGCCGACAGTGACACACGAGCCGATGGCCAGGGCGAAATAGAAGCCTGGACTGATCAATGTCTCTTGTGTCGTTACATGATTCTTTAACATACGCTCTTAACTAGGGAAGTCATATATACTCGCTTGTATACCCTCTTCTAAAACCCGGGCCCTAGCTGACTTGTCACGGTCGCGCCGCAGGGCCCTCAACTCTCTATTTCCACCGTGAAAGCCAGCAGAAAGTCTGCTAGCTCTAGGGGTTCACGGTGTGCGAATACCACCTAAGACCATGTCTGTAGCAAGCCTTTGCTGCGTTTGGCTCGCTCCTTGCCCAAAATACCTCTTAAGCACCAGCACCCCGGGTCCTACACTGCAGCCCTTCCAGAAAAAGAAAATGCCTGACATGATGTTAAGGGTCCTTATATGACTCAAGGTTTACTCCATTCATTAAAGGGTGTTGGGCTCTCCGGGTCCCTTTGGAACATGCACCTGATATCTGCGGCGCCTTCATTCAAAACTCTGCGCCATGAATCCTCGCTAGACTGGTTAGCCTAAACACATATCCCAAAACAACATCCATTAAACTGCTGGGTACATTGGGCACATTGACATCTTAAAGGTAGGCAGCTGCTCTAGGTACAATCAAACACATTCTATCGAATGCAACTAGTGTCTTCCCGACAAGATCTGCGGCGCCCATGTTTCTAACTAAACCCTAAACCCTAAACCCTAAACCCTAAACCCTAAACCCTAAACCCTAAACCCTAAACCCTAAACCCTAAACCCTAAACCCTAAACCCTAAACCCTAAACCCTAAACCCTAAACCCTAAACCCCCCCCCCCCACAGGATGTCTTGGCTTAGGATTCATAGGGATTAGGGTTTAGGGTTCAGGTTCAGAGTTCAGGGTTGCTTTTGAAGGGCAGGAATAAGCTATAGGGGTTGAGAGATTGGATGGGCTCAGGCTTGTTTATCGTACAAACAGGGATAAGGATTTAGGGGGGTTTAGGGTTTAGGGTTTAGGGTTTGGGGTTTAGGGTTTAGGGTTTAGGGTTTAGGACCAGGAGACTGTTCTTGGTCTTTGTGTTGCCCCCTGCTGGGGGCACTGTCGCACAGCTCAGCACCACGTAGGCCAAGAGCAGTGTTGCAGACAGCTCGACCACCCCAGCCTCCAAAAGGCATCCCGTGGGCTTTAGGGTTTAGGGTTTGGGGGTTTATATAGGGTTTAGGGTTCAGGGCTTAGGGCTTAGGGTTGACTAGGGAGATCATGAGGCCCTGTGTCAGCCACAACTTGCTCTTAAGGCCAGAGTAGCACTGAAAGGGGCCGACATTCCGTGGATCTTTTTATTGCCACCGGTCGTTGCGCACCTGATGATGTGGCTGTCCTAAACCCTAAACCCTAAACGCTGAACACTAAACCCTGAAGCCTAAGCCCCAAACTTGAACTCAGTCTCTGATCCAGTTCAGCCGGCAAAGTCGGCCAGAAGCCCTACACCCCCGACCTCTAAGCATAAAACCCTCAACCCTCAACCTTAGCAGAGATATAGGGCTGATTGGCTTGAATTTCTTGGGCGTTTTGAGGCTGTTGGCTTTCAGGATTCCTGGGGCCGTTTCCGGTCTAGCGTTTAGGGCATGGGGATGACTCGCTGCCAACCCAGAATACAAGGTGACACGTAGACACCCACTGTCAGATAATGTTCTTGACTGGGTACCCAGTAATGTTGGACCCGCTTTAGTATTGGCCCCCTCTTTAAAGACAATTTGGCTGAGTTATTCAGGACACCCTGACTGTTTGGGAGTTTAAAGACAACGGCTCCCGAAATCCGGGTTTTTTGTTAAGGAGTTGGGGCTAGTTTCGGCCCGGAGGCTCCGGCTTAAAGCCGGGCCTTATGATTTTAAAGCCGGACCTTGTGATTTTAAAGGCCGACCTCATCCATCCCAACCGGCCCGAAACCATTAATTCCCTTTAAGAAACCATTTGAAAAAATGGTTTCGTTCAATCCGACAAGGGGGTGGTCCAGCCGCCCCCCTCGGCCCCGAATAATGGCACTGATTTGGGACCCTGTTTTATGTCAAGGCCCCGGCCCGGAGGCTCCGAATTTGGATGCCTTGGTCTCTTGGCTTAAAGCCGGGCCTTATGATTTAAAGCCGGACCTTGTGATTTTAAAGGCCGACCTCATCCATCCCAACCGGCCCGAAACCATTAATTCCCTTTAAGAAATCATTTGAAAAAATGGTTTCGTTCAATCCGACAAGGGGGTGGTCCAGGAGCCCCCCTCGGCCCCGAAAAATGGCACTGATTTGGGACCCTGTTTTATGTCAAGGCCCCGGCCGGAGGCTCCGAATTTGGAAAAAACCTAAGGATCCCTTTTACATTCATATAAACTCATCCCGGACCCTTTTTCGATTCGCGCGGCTCCCTTTTAAATTCACATAAGCCCATCCCTTTTAAACTCAGATGGATTCCTTTTAAATCTATCTAAACTCCTCCCTATTAAAATCATATAAAATCCCGGGGCCCATTATAGAGGGCAACATCCAGCCTCGACTGTTGGGGGGGGGCCACACTAAGAGCGTCCAACATTAATTGTGGGCGTGCGGCATGGGTATCCCTCACACCCTGCATTATTGCGAGCTGATTCATGCTTTAGTGTGAGACAAGGGGCACACTAAACCATGCTACTCCAAGCCTCCCCGAGGCTTGTTGGGCTTCCCCAGACTTCTTACCAGGATGGGCTATTATACCCTATAATCCCTTCAAAGGCCCTTAAGAGGGTTCATGATGAGGATTTTAAGGCCTAAAAGCCCATCCTGGTAGAGGGTTTGGGGCTTTTTGAGGGGTCTTCCAGAAGCTTCCGGGACCTCGCTTGAGGAGGCAAGCTATGAAGTCGCCCAAATCCCACAGCACCAAAAGCGCGATCCGAGGAAATAGCCTAGCACATCCTTTGCCCTAAGCCCTACACCTTATCCCTACCTTTGCCTGTGACAGGGTGTAGTCGGATTTTGCCGCAGGTCCGAGCCCAATGAAGTCGGCCTTCCTTGAATTCAAGGGGGTTTAGGGTTTAGGGTTTAGGGTTAGGGTTTAGGGTTTAGGGTTTAGGGTTTAGGGTTTAGGGTTTAGGGTTTAGGGTTTAGGGTTTAGGGTTTAGGGTTTAGGGTCAAGGGGGACTTGGCAACAGAAAGGGTTTAGCGTTCATAGGCTTATAGGGTCTAGGGTATTAGGGTAGCAATACACCCCGAACTGCAGTGAGTGCTTTTGACCCGCTATGCCCAGAAAAACGGCCTTACACTATTTCCGGTATAGGATGAATCCTAGCGGACAAACAAGGATGATCGCATGAAATCGAGGGGGGAGCTGCATTCAAGAGCTTGCTTGTCATTTTGTAGGCTCCTACGCAGAACGTTAATTGTAGTTGGTTTTGGGTCACTACTTTAGTGGATAGTACCATGTAGGATAACATATAGCTAGGTACCCCCAAAAATGGAACTACAACTGGCGGTCCAGTTGGCCAGGAATTGGACGAGGTTTGCTGATGAATAACCTCGACACTCACGATATCACCGAACGAGGCAGATACATTCTATTGGAGTCTCTGGGAACATGCATTGGGAAAGCATTGGCGGCTTGAATACTAGACCATGAAATCTTGCTGAGGCCAATGCTAGGCCAGACGGCTTAACCTCAACATCCACCCTATAGGCTGTAGTGTTTAGGGCTTAAGGTTGAGGATAGATGCACAAGTCCCTAAACCCTGAACCTCAAACCCTAAGCCGCAATCTGGTGTTTGGTCCATGGTACTTGGGCCCGGCAGCATGGTACACGGAGTAGGCAATGCCTGGACAATCGGATGTCAAGGCTACAGGGGCTGTCCAGGGGTTGGCAAACCTTTAGGGCTTTAAGGTTTAAGGATACCAGTCCAAGCCCGAAACCTTGGGATGTTCGCCCCTTATACTAACAGTCCTTCATAGGAACTATCATAGGGGGTACGACAATACCTATTAAGGACTGTTAGTATTTGGGGGAACATCCCAACCTAAACCCTTGAAAGTATTTTCCTTCACTACGGGGACTCTTTCCTTACTTTGGAGTCGACCCTGGAAACAAAGTAAATGCTGTTTAGGTGTAAGTAGCTGTAATAGGATCCCAGAACCAAAAAAGCATTAAAGTATAGTGCTCCAGAACCCAGCTCTTGTCTCACTGCAACGCCCTAAACCCTAAACCCTAAACCCCAAACCCCAAACCCTAATCCCTAAACCCGAAACCCTAAACCCCAACCCAAGGATCCGGGAGCCTGCAGCCGTGCCTGCCAGGAGCTGCGTCGCCGCGTAGGCCACACCTTCCACAGCAGCCATCAGAACGGTTTAGGGTTTAGGGTTTAGGGTGTAGGGTTTAGGGTTTAGGGTTTAGGGTTCAGGGCTTAGGGTTTAGGGTTTTAGGGGTATTTTGGGTATGTAGGGTTGTTGCCATCATGGCAATGAGACGAACACAACGGTTGGGGTTTAGGGTATTTAGGGTATTTTGGGTATCTAGGGCTTTTAGACTAGGGTATTTAGGGTGTTTACGGTTAAGGGCTTAGGTCCCCGTCGAGGTATGCCCTAACTTTTACCCACAACTCAGTGGAACCCTAAGCTCTGAATGGGAACCATGGGCGTTGATGTTTTGATAATTAGAGCACAGGGCGCTTCTGAACCCTAAACCCTAAACCCTAAACCCTAATCCCTAAACCCTAAACCCCAAACCCTAAACCCTAAACCCTAAACAGAGTGGAGGGCTGGAGTATCTTGGGTTCACTGCTGAGGGGAAGGAAGGGAGACATGCTTCTTGGTTTCTGCATCTGGACTCGCTAAACCCGAAACCCTAAACCCTAAACCCTAAACCCTAAACCCTGAGCTACTGCAAGCAAGCCCTGAGCTGAACACGAAGCTTGCTCCTGCCTTCTGCTGTCGAGCAAAGCTTCCGCCCGCTGGCCACGACGGCCATGGTTACCTTTGGCTCCCGATTTAGGATTTAGGGTTTAGGGTTTAGGGTTTTGGGTTTAGGGTTTTGGGTTTAGGGTAAATTATAGTGTTTAGGGTTCTGAGGTTAGTTATAGTGTTTAGGGTTAGAGGAAAAGTATAGTGTTTAGGACCCTGAGGTTAGTTATAGTGTTTAGGGTTCAGGGGTAAGTTATAGTGTTTAGGGTTCTGAGGTAAGTTATAGCGTTTAGGGTTCAGAGGTAAGTTATAGTGTTTAGGGTTCTGAGGTAAATTATAGCGTTTAGGGTTCTGAGGTAAATCAGCGTTCAGAGTTCTGAGGTAAATTGGAGTTTAGGGTTCTGATGTAAGTTGGAGTCGGAGTTTAGGGTTCTGAGGAAAATTAGAGTGTTTAAAAGTTTAGGGTTTAAGGAGTAGGGTTTATGGTTTAGCGGTTTGGCCTAAGGTAGTTGCATGGTCCCTTAGTACGAGCCCTTAAAAGGGGACCCCGCGCGTACCCCTCTATAAATTAGCCCCCAAGGGCCCACCCTTCAGAACCCTGTAAATGAGGTAAGGGACCATACTAAGGGCACATACAAAAAAAAACTACCCTCAGAGAACCCTAAACCCTAAACCCAGAACCCCAAACCCTAAACCCTAAACCCTAAACCCTAAGCCCTAAGCCCCAAGCCCCAAGCCCTAAAGGGCCATGGGCTAAGCCCTGTCAACTCCAAGACCCTTTTGCATCCCGGCCTCGGCGAATGCCGGGTACCCCAAAACATTGCTTCTTCCCCCATTGCACACCCTAAACCAAAACCATTACGAAACCCAAAGCTTGGAGACCTGAACCGGTTGAGTTTAGGCAGTCGGGTTGAGGCTCTGGGGGGAGGGGGGGGGGGAGGGGGGGCAAGAAGCGGGGGGTTTGGAGTTTGGAGTTTGGAGTTTGGGGTGGGGGGGCGGTAGGGTTTAGGGTTTAGGGTTTAGGGTTTAGGGTTTAGGGTTTAGGGTTTAGGGTTTAGGGTTTAGGGTTTAGGGTTTAGGGTTTAGGGTTTAGGGTTTAGGGTTTAGGTTTTAGGGTTTAGGGTTTAGGGTTTAGGGTTTAGGGTTTAGGGTTTAGGGTTTAGGGTTTAGGATTTGGGGTTTGGGGTTTAGGGTTTGGGGTTTAGGGCATAGGGTTTAGGGCATAGGATTTAGGTTTAGGGTGTAGGGTTTAGGGATTTTAGGGGGTTTCGGGTTTGGTCCTTCAATCCAAGGTTACTTGCGGCCATCAAGGAACATGGAAGATTCTTCTCCCAGACCAGATCCTCCATCCCTCACATCTTCGGTCAGCCAACTTGAGCTCCAAATATCCAGCCCCAGAACCTTTTTAACGGCCTTAGTGTAGTACCTTCGTTTAGGTAGTATACGATACCTTCTCCACAAGAATCCGAGGTGCCGCAGGGTTGAAGTGAGCACCGGAAACATCTCCGAGGCTGTAGATCATACCTGCACATACTTGGTAGGGTCAGGGGTTAGGCATGGGCACGCATAAGTAGGTTATCCTCAGATTCAACTATGGATCTAACCATGCTTAGGATACTTTTAGAAGCCGAACCCTAAACACTAAACCCTAAACAAACCCTGGAGAAGGCTTAGGCTGAAGGCCCGGAAGGTTCAACGCCTTGAGCTTGAAGGGGTTTGAGACACAGGGGGCCTGTTCCCAAACCTACTTGGAGGTTCATGGTACTTGTTAAGCAATACATGCACTTATAACTCACTTATAAGAACCTTATGTGCCCTAACATGGTGATAAGTACAGTTATAAGTACAGTTTTCAGTTGGTTAGTAAGTACCATGAACCTACAGACACTGCTCAAAAATGGGCTGCCAAAAGGAAAAGTCGAGGGTGGCACACATCAAGGCAGCTGCCGCCGACCACGCCGTCGCGGGGGAGTCGTTGGCAAGATTCAGTCCGACCTGGTCATGTCTCTACCTGGACCCCCAGTTTAGGGTTCAAGGTTGAGGGTTTAGGGTTGAGGGCAGTTGAATTAAGGAAGGCTCTCATAACAACACCGCTTGAAATAATCACGGGTTCCCCTACTACTCCCATCTACACTACCCCTTCTAGGTTTTCCCCAGAATTATGGCCATTTAGAAGTAGTTAAAACTAGTGCTGATTTAGGGGGGGGAGGGGGGGAACCTGGGGGGGGGGGGGGGGGGTAGTATAGAGGCGGGTTGTATGGAGACCCATGAATTGAGGAAGGCTCTCATAACAAAACCCCTTACTTGCAGGATTCTTTGGTTAACCTATACAACTACTTCTTGCTTAAGAACCCCCCCCCAAAAAAAAATAAAAAGTAAGGGAAATATAGGTCTTGTTAATGTTTTTTGTGTTTTTTTTTTTTTTTTTTTTTTTTTTTTGGGGGGGGGGGGGGGGTTCTTAAGAAAACAGTCGACCACAAAGCTGGTCTGGGGTTTGGGTTCCGTAGGGCTTCCCAACCTGAATGCCCAAAACAATCTCCTTGTTGCTAAGTACCCTGGCCCAAAGGTTTAGGGTTTAGGGTTTTGGGCTTAGGGTTTAGGGTTACCTTTAATTGTGGGTAGGATTGTATATACCCTAGTTGCTAAGTACCCGAAAGGTTACCCTTTTTGTTGGATTGCATATACCCCCAAGAAGGGTTAAAGGTTAGCTACTCAGCCGCTAAGTTCTCAACTGCAAAAGCATGCAACCAACAAATCCCAAGCCATCTTGTTTCGCCTCCGACTCCAAGCCCTCACAAACGAAACAAAAACTTACCCGGAACCCTCCAACGTATCCGCAAAAATGCTGTTTGTTTTTGCATACTTTGGGGGTTTAGGTATAAACCCTAAACACCTAAACCCTAAACCCTAAACTCTAAGGTCCTTAACACACTCAGCCTGGGGTTCAGGCATCCTTTGAGGCGTCGAGGTCTAGGGGTCAAGAATACATAGGGAAAAGGCTGGCGGCTTAGGGTACATACATTCTGCATCCTAAGCCCGAAGGCCTAAACCCAAAAACCCGAAACCCCCAAAAACGGTCCGGCGTCTGGCGTGTCCGCCCCCCCCCCCCCCCCCCCCCCCCTTTGGTATGGTCAGGTAGGGGGGGGGGGGGGGGGGGCGACTGTGAGCACACCTTCAAAACCCGTGTCTTGTGAGTGTTGCGCCTTCGGTTGAGGTACCCTAAACCCTAAACCCGAAACCGAAACCCTAAACCCTAAACCCAAACCCCAACGCCGAACTCTGAAGGAGTCAAACTGGCACAACCCGCAACCTCTCTCCTGAAAGCACCTTCTTTTCTACACCCAAGAGGAAGTAGAGACATATATGCGAAGAGTAACCTAGGAATAAGCGGGTGGCATTTGTTTAGTTTAAAGGGGTTTCTACCTGAACCTAAACCCGAACAAAAGGGCATAAGGGCTTGCTCTGGGTCCTAGTAGCCCTAAACCCTAAACCCTTGGAGAGCACCAAGGGGCAGTCAGGACGAGCATGAAGACTCCGAGGAACTCGCTCAGGAGCTTGACCTTCACTAGGTTTAGGGCCTAGGGTTTATTTAGGGTTTAGGGAAAAACTCGTAAAGAAGACCCTTCAAGGAGGCTATATAAGGGAAAGCCGGAGAGAAGTCCCGAGGTCTACCAATTTTAGGGGGGCAGGTGGGGGCAGACGTCTCCCGACACATGCTTTTAGGGCCCTTGCTATGTCTATGCTTACCCTAAACCCTAAACCCTAAACCCTAAACCCTAAACTGTCTATGCTTGCTCCTCATGCATCCTGAACTTCTCTCAGGCGACCCTTCGCGCGCCCTGCAACATCATACCATCCTCCTATACTACGATATGAAGCAGGGTTTATGTTTCTGTTTTTGGTGAGTGTATATAGGGTTCCTTTTCAATGTTGGTGAGTGTACATACCTGGTGTCCTTTTGGGGGTACAAGAAATATATACCCTACTTCATATGTGTCTGCACATGTATGCATGGGGCACGAAATGCCGTGATGGAATACAGAAGCCAAAAAAAAATAAGGACCACGTGGCAAGCAGAGGAGGCTCATAGTCGTCTCTCGGAGGGGCATCCAGATAGTCCTGGCTTGTTGGGGAACTCTAAACCCTAAACCCTAAACCCTAAACCCTAAACCCCAAGCCCCAAAACCCGCAAGGTCTTCCATTCAGGCATTCAGGCCTGCCTCGGCTCTTTCCCAGAGCGTTCCTGATCCAAAGGCCTAAATGCAACAAACTACGAGTGGGTTACAGGTTTTAGGGTTTATAGGGAATATAGGTTCACATTCCATCGTCCGCACAATCGCAGGGGCCCTCTGTGACTGCAATTGCGACCGCTTTGGGATAATTACCACACATACCACAAAAAACAAAAAAAACTTGCCGCCAGCCTCCCCCCCCCCCCCCCCCCCCCCCCCCCTCAAGAAAAAGAAGCCAGTACTAAACCCGTGCCACTGGGGGAAATGCCCACCGCACCCTTTCTGCACGCGCACCTACCCAAAAACCCAGGGACCTTCCTGCAGAGGGACTGGGTCCCCAGAGCCTTGGGGTAGGTAGGCTTGAGAGGAGTATCAGCCCTTGGTTCTAAGTAGCCCTAAACCCTAAACCCTAAACCCTAAACCCTAAACCCCTGAACTCGAGTCATCTTCAGGGGAGTCTAGGGTTCGGGACTAATCTGGAAATGCTGGCGGAAAGGGCTCAGGGTTTAGGGTTTATAAGGTCGAAGTCGCCTAAACCCTAAACCCTAAACCCTAAACCCTAAACCCTAAACCCTAAACCCTAAACCCTGAACCCTGAACCCTAAACGTCCTCCTGTCGAGGAACGCGGATCACACGGAAGAGCGCGACTGCGACCACCGCCCCCAAGAGCTCGAACAAACCTGTTTAGGGTTTAGGGTTTAGGGTTAGGGTTTAGGGTTCGGCTTTCGGGTTTAGGCTTTAGGGTCAGCCACATTGCAGGGTTTGGGGAAGCAAAGGGCCCATCGGGTGCCACACACTGCAACATGCACTACTTAACATCCACACCTGGCAGCATCAAGTGAACACCTCGCATTCCCGACGTCACCGCAGTAAATGCATAGGGCATCAGCAACACTGATTTCGAAGCTTGCAAAGATGCTGTCAAGGAGCCCCAAAGGAAGCCCATGCCGACGCCCTTGCTGTAGCCTGGGCAGGAGCAGCTAAACCGAACTAAAACCCTAAAACGCCTACGCCCTCTAATTCAAGACCCTGAAGCATCTAAAGTCCCTCAACCCTAAACCCTAAACCCTAAACCCTCAACCCTAGACCCTAAACCCTAAACCCTAAACCCTACACCTGAAAGCCCCGGAGCCCTAAAGCCCGTGACCATCGCCGAGGTGCTTGACACATCGAGGCCGATGGCTACTGCGGGGTTGAAAGCAGCTCCAGACACTCCTCTGAGGGTTTAGGGTTTAGGGTTTAGGGTGTAGGGTTTAGAGAAATTTGTAGGGCCTGTGGGGTTTTGGGTTTATGGGGGGTTCCAAGGAGCGTGTACCGGGTTGATGGTTTATGAAGGATTTGTTTACGAGGTCAAAGTGTTAGGAAAATGGGGTGGTAGGGCTCCAAAAACTTCATGATTGAGCCGGGATTGATTAGAGTTCAGGGAGGGCTTCGGGGTTGTTCAGGGGTTAGGGTGCAGAGCTCAGGGTTTAGGGCTGCAGGGCTTTGCATGCGCATCAGGGCCCAGGACGGTGCCGGCCAGGGAGAGGTTGACAGTCAGGGTTTTGAAGCACTTTCACACCCTACTCAAGTCCATGACCTGCTGTTGTTTTGTTCAGCAGATGTTGCTGTCGTATTGGCTTGTTCTTCTCCTTCTTCCCACCACCACCCACCGTACCACCACCCACCATACCACCACCCACCGTACCACCGTACCACCGTACCACCGTACCACCGTACCACCGTACCACCCCACCGTACCACCGTACCACCGTACCACCGTACCACCGTACCACCGTACCACCGTACCACCGTACCACCGTACCACCGTACCACCGTACCACCGTACCACCGTACCACCGTACCACCGTACCACCGTACCACCGTACCACCGTACCACCGTACCACTGTACCACCGTACCACCACCACCCATCGTACCACAACCACCACTACCACTACCGCTACGACGACGACGATGATGATGACGACGACTTTTACGACGACTTGTACTAGACCCTAAACCCTAAACCCAACCCTCAACCCTGAACCCTGAACCCTAAGCCCTAAACCCTAAACCCTAAACCCTAAACCCTGAACCCTCCCATGGGCTTCTGCAAGCCAGGGCCTCCCACAGCATAGCCGCCCGCGATGATGACCCACCCAATGGCCAGCGCGTAGAAATTGTTGCCGTCGCTCGCGGGGTTGTTACCTAGGCTGGCCAATTGAGGCCATCTTACAAGGGTTTGGGTTTAGGGTTTAGGGTTTAGGGTTTAGGGTTTAGGGCTTAGGGCTTAGGGCTTAGGGTTTAGGGTTTAGGGTTTAGGGTTTAAGGTTTAGGGTTAAAGGTCTTACGGTTTAGGGTTCTCCCCCTTAGACCTAACAGCCATTTGAGGGCATCCCCTTAGGCCCTAAAGAAAAGGTCCCATAAGCCCAAAGGGTCCATGATACGTGGGCCTTCTTGGGGTTCCAAGACAGTAGCTTTAGGCTGATTTGGGCCCCAGTATATACTGCATGGGTACATGGACCCTTTGGGAAAGGGAAAAACCCTAAACCCTAAACCCTAAACCCTAAACCCTAAACCCTAAACCCTAAACCCTAAACCCTAAACCCTAGGTCCCAAACTAGCTGCGCTTGGAGACGGCGACGCTCAGAACAGTGAAGGCCAGCATGGCGGTGTAGATGAGCTCCGCCATCAGTGCGTGCGATGTGTGGTAGGGCTCCTTCACCTCAACAGCCACAAACCCTAAACCCTAAACCCTAAACCCTAAACCCCAAACCCCAAACCCTAAACCCTGAACCCAAGGTAAGGCTCAGGATTGTTGAGGGGACACAAAGAGCCCCATGCTCCTAAGACAAGGACTGTACATCAAAAAATATCTAAGGGTCCCGTACGCATTCCTTCGTTCGGGGTATAGAGGGCCCTTTCGGAGCACCGTAGTTTTGCGAGGCGCGGCCTAAACTGGAAAGGTCAATTAATTCAAGCAAATTAGGGGCCGAAATAAATCGACTGGGGTTTAAGAGGAGCCATAGAGGAATCCATTCTTTTAGGACCCCTAAATTAGATGAGCCACCTCCACGTTTGCCACATCCGTGTAGAGACTGCAGGCTGCAAAGCCAGCAGCGATACCGCCGGCAAGCTGCGATGCCCAGTACCCGGCAGTCTTCAATGACCAGTCGCCTGGGTTTAGGGTTAGGGCTAGGGTTTAGGGTTTAGGGTTTAGGGTTTAGGGCTTAGGGCTTAGGGCTTAGGGTTTAGGGTTTAGGGTTTAGGGTTTAGGGTTTAGGGTTTAGGGTTTAGGGTTTAGGGTTTAGGGTTTAGGGTTTAGGGTTTAGGGTTTAGGTTCTTGACCAGTCGCCTCGGCTTGTAAAGCCCTGGACAGAAGCTTTGCACATGACATTTGCGTGCATGTGTGTGTGTGTGTGTTTCCACACCCACGGTGTGTTTAGGATTTTTAACGTTAAACAACCCTAAACCTTAAAAGTTCCAAAATACAACTTAAACCTTTAAAAGGGCTTTTTTTAACGGTACAAAAACCCTAAGTTCGATTTTAAGTCAGCTGTGCTCCTCGCCTCCTCGCCTCCTCTCCCGGCGTCCTGGCTCCTGGGCCTGGGTCCCTTGGAGTGCCCACCCCCTAAACCCTAAACCCTAAACCCTAAACCCTACACCCTAAACCCTAAACCCTAAACCCTAAACCCTAAACCCTAAACCCTAAACCCTAAACCCTCAACCCTCAACCCTCAACCCTCAACCCTCAACCCTCAACCCTAAACCCTAAACCCTAAACCCTAAACCCTAAACCCTAAACCCTTCCCGACCATCCCAGGAGTGAGCATCAAGAAGCCCATGTCTTGATCTGTCCAAGGGGGTCTATGCCACAAAAAAGGTACATTTGGGGCTTGAATACAGGGCCACGGCAACAGGGGTTTAGGGTTTAGGGTTTAGGGTTTAGGGCTTAGGGCTTAGGGTTTAGGGTTTAGGGTTTAGGGTTTAGGGACAGCCACGAGTGAAGAGGGTCCTGCCTAGTGTGAGCAGGAGACAGCGAGCTCATGAACTTATAAAGCACCGTCGCCTGTTGCCAAAGCAATGGCGAAAGTCACCGCCGGGTTCAAGTGTCCTCCAGAAACCTCAGCTGTCCAGGCCCTTGAGGCTTCTAGGGGAGCACCTCAAACCACTTGAACCCTATCTTCGTGCGGTCTAAAGCACCCCACCAGTTGCGTAGATCATGACCATCAGGGAGCAGGCGATAGATGTCGGCGACCAGTTGGCGTCACCCGCCAAGACATTGCACACCACCTTCTGGCACGGCAGTTGAGAACACATACACGTAGGTTTAGGGTTTAGGGTTTAGGGTTTAGGGTTTAGGGTTTCTAAGTTGGCGACTATCTACCTGGAACCTAAACCGCGCGCATGCCCAGCATTTTCACTGCTGAGCTGTCCAACCGAAGAATGAAGTCACACCCACCAGCCAAAGGTGGAGCAAGGGGCCTCGGCCCCAAGCTCACAACAAACCCTCAACCCTCAACCCTAAACTCTGTGAAAGCGGGCTGCTGTGAACACCAAGACGAAGGTGCCGAGAAATTCGGCGGCGTAGCAGGAATACCAAGCGGCTTCCTTCTCTAGCTCAGTCGGGTGGGTCACATAGAACATCATGACCTCTGCGGCTGGCGCACGGGAAAGCCTCCTTGATGCCGAGTTTCTCCCAAATAATAGTAGTAGTCACAACAAGCATAGCACGAATAACATATAAGAACAATAGTCAGACGGCAATTTGCCAATATAGGGGTATGTCTTTCATACCCCAAATAGAAGAGAACCCCCCTGAAGGGAGGAGGGCGTACCCCCCCCAGATGTGAGTGGCACCCAGCACCATGATGTGAGTGTCCCATGCCATCCACAGCCAACCTTCTTGAACCCCGAGGTTCTGCTGCCCAGACCCAAGATTCCCGCACCCTTGCTGTCTAGGGTTTAGGGTTTAGGGTTTAGAGTTTAGGGTTTAGGGTTTCCTCAAAACCCATAAAGACTTAAAGTTGGGAATCTGAAATCTGACCGAGCCCTAGACATGCCTTCTTTAAAGCCAGGCCCTCACCCTAAGCCCTAAACTCTAAACCCTAAACCCCAAACCCTAAGCCCTAAACTCTAAACCCTAAACCCTAAATCCTGATAGGCCCTCAGCCCTTGTGAGCATGAACCCATCGAGCCACTAGCTTCCGAAATACCTTTCGGGTTTTGAGGGTTCGAGGGTTCAGGGTTTAGGGCTAGGGTTTAGGGATACTAGTACTACTCCCTTCTTGGAGGTTCAGGGTGCTTATAACCCTGATTTGATAACTGTACTTGAAAGCCCCCCCTAAGTCCCCTTAGCAGGTTGTAGGTGGACTTATAACTGTGGATATAAATACCCATGAACCTCCAAGTTGTCACAACCCTTCTTCTTCCAACCTTGGTGACAACCCCCTAAGTTGCCCCTAAGCCCTAAACCCTAAACCCTAAACCCTAAACCCTAAACCCTAAACCCTACTAAGCCCACATGGCCAGTTCTCTGAATTCTAGTCCCCTTTTGGGTGCCCTAGAGCCCTTCTAGTAAGGACCCAAAAGGGACACATTTTGGAGATGGATCTGAGCTATGCTCTTCCGAACCCTTGAAAACTCATTCTGATAAGTCAGCCTAGGCCATTCTGGCCCTCTCAACCCCAGATCCCTGAGCCCTTGTGGAACTAAGCCCTTGTTAGCCCTAAGCCCTTACAAGCCCCAAACCCTTGTCAACCCTTAACCCCAAAACTCTTGTAAACCACAACCCCTCGTCAACCCCAAACACCTAAACCCTGGCAAGCCGCCAACCCTACATCCCAAAACCGAAGCCCTAAACCCTAGAGCCTAAACTCTTGTAAGCCCCAAACACCTCTAGAAGAACACACCAAACCATGCGGCCGGACCCTAAACCCTAAACCCCAAACCCTAAACCCCAAACCCTAAACCCCAAACCCTAAACCCTAAACCCTATAAACCCTAAACCCTAAACCCTTGGTTTCGAATGAGACGCGGCCAGGAGCCCACCAAGGAACTCGAAGGTGGCAAGCTGCAACCTTTAGGGTTTAGGGTTTAGGGTTTAGGGTTTAGGGTTTAGGGTTTCGGGTTTAGGGTTTAGGGTCTGGGGGTTTAGGGTTTAGGGTCTGGGGGTTTAGGGTTTCGGGTCTAGGGTTTAGGGTTTGGGGGTTTAGGGTTGTGGGGGTACAGGGTTTAGGGTTATAGGGTTTAGGCTATAGGGTGTCTAGGTTTAGGGCTATGGGGTTTCGGAGATTTAGGGTTACATTGTTTAGGGTTATCAGGTTTATAGGGTTCAGGGTTCCGGGTTTAGAGGTCTAGAGTTTAGTGGACGTAGGGTTTATAGGGTTGATAGGGTTTACAGGGTTTATAGGGTCTATAGGGTTTACAGGGGTTAGGGTTATGGGGATTGGAGGTTTAGGGTTTATAGGGTTTAGCGTCTTGTTTTGTTTGCTACCGCCTAGCCGAACTGAAGTCCACTTTGCAGGGTATATGGCTTTTTTCGGGGTTATAGTTAAGGGTTTTGGGTTTCGGGCTGAGGTTTGGGTTCAGGTTTCATGAGCTGAAGGTTTGCTTCGGAATTTGGGTGTACTGTTTGAGGGTTTAGGGCGCAAAGTTGAGGGTTCGGGCCATGAGAGTTGCAGGACTACCTAGACCCACAACTCCGGTCTCTTCTTGGGACGTACCTACCTTTCAACTTCAGTGCGCCCACCAGAAAGCTAAGTGCGAACCCCCCAACAGCATCTACGACTGAGGGGCTAGAGGTTGACCAGGTCGAAATGAACTGAAGTGGTACTCCCTAAACCCCAAACTGCCTATTACCAGTACATTCTGGCCCACTAAACCCTAAACCCGAAACCCTAAACCCTAAACCCAAAACCCTAAACCCGGGCGCATAGGGTTAAACTGCGAGCCAGCGGCAAGTTTACAATGGTGGAGCCGTGAATGGTCGCGCCCTCCGGCGAGTATATTGAGCTGGCCACAGACAATCCTGGCTGAGGGACTCAGGGCGCGCCTAAAACGGATCCAAGGGATCCCCGTCTAAGGGCCCCTTTTTAAGGGACCAGCTACCTACCCTTAGAACCCTTAGAACCCTTACAACCCTCAACCCTTCAGATGAAGCCTTGCCCTGCACCCCGAAGCCTGCACCAAGACCCTACAACCACCCTAGCCCTAAACCCTTTTGCATCCAAAAAAAAACCCTAACCCTAGAACCTAAACCCTAACCCTGAACCCTGAACCCTGAACCCTAAACCCTAAACCCTAAACCCCAAACCCTACACCACACAGAGCTCCTGTTGACACCGCCGGGTTCAACTCTCCGCCAGACACTGCCCCGCCGGCAAAGCCGCCCGCGGTCACGCAGGAGGCGATCGCCAGCCCGAAGTAGAAGTTCCTCTCTAACCCTAAACCCTAAACCCTAAACACTAAACCCTAAACCCTAAACCCTAAACCCCTACACCCCTACACCCGTACACCCCTAAACCCCTACACCCAAAAACCCCTAAACCCCTAAACCCCTAAACTCCTAAACCTGAAAAAACGCTCAAAGCACTTACGGGATTCAGGTCTTTCTTGGGTCCAGGGCTCCACTTGCAGACGTAGACTCGGCATTAACAAAAGTTTTTTCTCATGCTAGGGACCAGGGCTTGGGGGTTAGTGTTTAAAGGTACTTGAAACAGTTGCCCGATGCGGTTCTGAAAGGGCCCAGTACCTCTTGACTCAGGCACATACCTCAAGTTCTCGAAGGATCCTGAACCGGATTTGGGCTACTCCTGGCTATTGCTTAAGTGAGGGGCTTTGGGCTCGCTGTGTTCTGCTCTGATCCAAGGCTCTGTTTCGTGAGCTGCGATTCGGGCTTTGCAGTGGTGGCGGTGGCCAGGACCACGTAGCACAGGACGAAAGTAAAGACCTGGTACGTTCGTCAGGGTTTAGGGTCCAGAGCTTCGGAGGTGTCGGAATGGGGGCTGATCCTTTCGCAAGACGCTAACCCCTTAACCCGAAACCCACAGCAATCAAAGGATCCGCGGAAGGGGCGTATGCAAAAAAAATCCCCCCCCCCCCCCCCCCCAAGACCCCCAAACGCGCCAAGCTTGGTCTTAGATGGTATGCAAAAAAATCCCCCCCCCAAGACCCCCAAACGCGCCAAGCTTGGTCTTAGATGGCCTTAGGGATAGGTTTTCTAGCCTTTCATTCCCCCTCGAGATCTGGCATATGCTTTTAGGGCTCATGATATGCATGTTATGAAACATGGTAGAGCAGATCAAGCAAACAAGTGAATAACATAATAATACTATACTTTTACCTTACTACTATATATACATACATATACATATAGTCAATATAGTCTCTGTGTGTGTATGCATGTATGTATGCATGCATGTATGTACCTTCTGTATGTACCTTATGTATGTACGCACGTTCGTATGTACGTATGTACGTATGTAGAGAGAGAGAGAAGACAGGGGAATCCAGAGAACAGCGTAAGCAAGAATCACAGCAAGTTTCAAAGAGCCTAAACAGCCTGAACACGCAGAGCATGCCAAGCCATGCCAAGCCCCGCCAGACTGCGGGGCTATCACTTCAGCCAGTTAAAGCAAGAATCAAACCCTATAAAACCTATAAACCCCATAAACCCTATAAACCCTATAAACCCTAAACCCTAAACCCTAAACCCTAATGCTGCCGGCTCCAGTAAGCCTAAGTTTCCCAGAAACCCTTAACCCCAAAACTTAAATCCCTCATGGCTTAAGATTTATAGGGTGAGGGTCGTATCGTAGAATCGAAGGCTGAAGGCAGCACCCGAAACCCTGAACCCCTAAACCCTAAACCCCTAACCCTAAACCCTAAATCCCTACACCCCCAACCCCTAAACCCCTAAACCCCTAAACCCTTAACTTGTCACTTGTAAACCTATTGCTTCTAAATGGATTGGGGAACGTATGCTGTGAGTGGGCACCCGACAAGAGACCCTACTCAGGGTTATCGCCCAACTCCACACTAGACCCTAAGCTTTAGGGTGTGCGGATTTCTGCGCTTAGGTTAGAGTTTACGGGGCTTAGGGGCTCTTACATAAAAAGTCAGTATATCTCTCTCAACCATCCCCTAGATCTGATGCCCCAAAAGGTGAACTACACACATGTCGGGTTTTCCCCGAATATGGGTACCCTTAGTAACTAGTATAATCCTATTATTGGAACCCCCCCCTCCCCCCCAACAAAAAAACAAAAAAACATAATTTTTCTGAAACACCACATCCGAGCATTGGAATTGGGACCTAGAAATCTTTAGAATCAGTGCAATGTACGGTGGCTTGCAGGTGCTCCAAAATCAAAACCGGGTTTAGGGTTTAGGGTTTAAAGTCGACTCTAGGCCATCCGCGGGTTGAGTTCACCAAGTGTGCACCTACCTCACTCCCATGCCTTGACTCCCTGAAGAAACGGTGAGTCCATGACCCTTTCACAGCCTCTCCTACTCAAAGCCCCCTTTCCTAAACCCTATAAACCCTAAACACAGAAAACTAGAAGAGGGATGGCCCGAAAGCATCGATTTGCCGTGCGTTACTCCATGCAGTTGATTCTTTGCACTCGAACTGCATGCACTTGGACAAATGTATGCACTTACATGGTTGCATAGTCAACTTGTACACTGCACTTGTCCAGTGGACGTGTATGGAACTGCATGGCATTCAAGTGTGTGGAGTTGAATGCCATGCACTTGTGGTCAACTCTGTACACTTTTCATCGGCATTGAAGACAACGCCGAGCTCCAGTGGCTGGTCGCGGCACGCGCCTGCCCTCCAAAACGAGATCACTTTTTTCCCGGTCCGCTGCATGGCATTCACATTCCAGTCCCACGAAATTTCCCAGGTTTTCGACGCCCCGGAATTTGAGTCCCACGATATTTGCGAGGTTTTCTTGCGAGGTTGGGTTTCGACATCCCGGAATTCGAGTCCCACGCTATTTGCGAGGATTTCGAGGAATTCGAGTCCCACGATATTTGCGATGGTTTCGACATCCCGGAATTCGAGTCCCACGATATTTGCGAGGTTCTCTTGTGAGGTTTTGGACGCACCGGAATTCAAGTCCCACGATATTTGCGAGGTTTTCGATGCCCCGGAATTCGAGTCCCACGATATTTGCGAGGGTTTCGACATCCCGGAATTCGAGTCCCATGATATTTGCGAGGTTTTCGAGCAATTCGAGTCCCACGATATTTGCGATGGTTTCGACATCCGGGAATTCGAGTCCCACGATATTTGCGAGATTTTCCCGGAATTCGAGTCCCACGATATTTGCGAGGTTTTCAACGAGAAAGGACAAAAACATCCCCGTGTCTTCACGCGCGCGGAAGTCCGTTACCATGTTATTTGCGGTGTTTTCAAGCGCCCAAATGTCCGTTACCATGCTATTTGCGGTGTTTTCATGCACCCAGATGTCCGTTACCATGCTATTTGCGGTGTTTTCAAGCGCCCAGATGTCCGTTACCATGCTATTTGCGGTGTTTTCATGCGCCCAGGGCGTCCGCGGCGTACTACGTCTTTACTACAAAAAGTCGACTTTCCAGCCACGGAAGCTCCGCGTGTCCGCGGCGTACTATGTGTGTACTACAAAAGTCGACTTTCCAGCCACGGAAGCTCCGGGGGCGTCCGTGTGTACTACAAAACTCGACTTTCCAGCCACGGAAGCTCCGGGTGTCCGGGGCGTACTACGTCTGTACTACAAAAGTCGACTTTCCAGCCACGGAAGCTCCGGGTGTCCGCGGCGTACTACGTCTGCACTACAAAAATCGACTTTCCAGCCACGGAAGCTCCGGGGGCGTCCGTGGCGTACTACATTTGTACGACAAAACTCGATTTTCCAGCCACGGCGTCTGTACTACACAAGTCGAAAAAAACACGCAACAACACTACGGTTTTAGCACCGCGACCACCCGAAAACCCGCAGAGGGGTTACGTTTGCATGTCAAGAAACGCAAAAGCACGACGGTTTTGGCACCGCGCCAACGCCGAAACCCGCAGAGGGGTTACGTTTGTATGTCAGGAAACGCAAAAACACGACGGTTTTGGCACCGCGCCAACGCCGAAACCCGCAGAGGGTGTCCGCGCGCGCGAAAAAAAGTACCAAACACGACGGTTTTAGCACCGCGACCCGGCGATCAGCCGCAGAGGGTTGTCCGCGCAAATCAAGAAACGCAAAAAAACGACGGTTTTAGCACCGCGACCACGATGAAACCCGCAGAGGGTTGTCCGCGCACAGAAAGAAACGTAAAAAAAACGACGGTTTTAGCACCGCGACCACGCCGAAACCCGCAGAGGGTTGTCCGCGCAAATCAAGAAACGTAAAAAAACGACGGTTGTCCGCGCAAATCAAGAAACGTAAAAAACGACGGTTTTAGCACCGCGACTACGCCGAAACCCGCAGAGGGTTGCAATCCCGATTGGCGATGTCAACCCAGCCCGCCGCCTTAGAAAGAGTAATTTTAATTAGAAGAGTAATTTTAATTTAGAAATCTAGGACTGGGTACGAAGGTCTACTAAATTCTACGTAAATCTCGCACTTTCTATTCACTTCAACTTCACTCTATGCAATTCACTCTATGCACTTCACTCTATGCAATTCACTCTATGCAATTCACTCTATGCACTTCACTCTATGCACTTCACTCTATGCACTTGACTCTATGCACTTCACTCTATGCACTTGAATCTATGCACTTCACTCTATGCACTTGACTCTATGCACTTCACTCTATGCACTTGACTCTATGCACTTGACTCTATGCACGTCACTCTATGCACTTCACACTATGCACTTGACTCTATGCACTTCACACTATGCACTTCCTCTATGCACTTCACTCTACGCGCTTCACTCTATGCACTTCACTCTATGCACTTAACTCTATGCACTTGACTCGAGTACTTCACTCTATGTTGTTGGGTCAGAGGGCTCCGCACGGAAGAACCCTTCGCGATGCTTTCGGGAAATAAACCCTATAAACCCTAAACACAGAAAAACTAAACCCTAAACCCGAAACCCTAAGCCCCAAACCCTAAACCCTAAACACTAAAAAACCTAAACCCCAAACCCTAAACCCCAAACCCTAAACCCTAAACCCTAAACGTTTCCCACTGGGGTGAAGGCCATCTCAACGATGCTGGCCTCGAGCATGCTGTGCCCTTTCCTGAGCTGTCATCTACTGAGGTTTAGGGTTTAGGGTTTAGGGTCTAGGGTCTAGGGTTTAGGGTCTAGGGTTTAGGGTTTATTTGCTTAAGAACCCCCCCCCCCCCCCCCCAATAATATGGGGCGGGGTTCCGAAAATAGGGGTACCCCTATTCTAAGTAAGGGAATGCTACTATTTGGGGGTCCCTCATGTTCGAAAACCCCCTTACGGACTGAGGAGGCTGCTGGCAACTCACCCTAAACCCTAAACCCTAAACCCTAAACCCCAAACCCTAAACCCTAAAGTATGTAGGCGCACTCCCAATCCCGTAA